CATCAGCCAGGATGCCGAGACAAAAGCCGCAGATGAAACAGAACCTCACCGCGTTTGTGCGAGACGACGTGCGTCTTTGTCTCCCTTTCGGATATACGACTTCCGGTACCGAGAACTAGACGCGCGAGCCCAGCCTCAATGGGATGATGCATCTCCGTGTATGCTGGCCGAGGGCCGTGGATCGCGATTGTTTCGTTCGTTTTCCGTGCGAATACCGCGGCTTCCGAGCCTCTCTATAGCCGCAGCTCCTTTCGGGCCCCGCGGAAGTACTCGCCTATTCACGTTGTCATTTACAGATATCGAATCACCTCCACCTCGTCTCCTTTCCCAAACAACTTGCTCCTTTCAGGCCATTATCCTTTTATCAAAGGCTCTTCTATCTTACGATACAATTGACTTTCTTTGGCTGAAGAACATACCCATCGCGGGGGCGCACCCTCCCCTCTATTATCTCCGCCAAACGACTCGACAATCAACGAAATGTGTCGCAATAAGCGAGCGAGCAACGGTCGCCTTATCTCCTTAACCGATTCGCCTTAACGGTTCACGCGCGCGCGCGCGCGCTCGAAACCTTGTCCCGGATTAAAAGAACAGCATATAAAGCTTCGAGAGGCTTTTTGATTTTCTATTTCGCTTTTAGACGCGCAATATCCGAGGCAGTGTCTATATACGAATTGACAAAGGAACGCAAGCCTTTTTTATCAACCCGCGGTCGAGTTTATGGTAGCAATGCTGCGATCACACGTATGTGCAGCAGCAGCAGCTTATATTATTAGGGAGGCAAGACGGTAGCCGAGCGGCTTATGTGTAAGTGTGGAGAGGCTAAGTGTCTAATTGTCCTCTCCTTTCCTCTCGTTCTCACTCATTCACGACGACCTCTCCCGCTCCCTCTGGCCGTGCCTTTGCTTCCTCTCATCTGCACTTCGCTTGGAGGGTTCGGTCCATGGCGAGCTATTGTTTTCCGCGACTCAAGAGTCAAGCCTTAACGGATTTTGTCTTGCAGATTACAAAATCCGTTGAGTACTCGTGTCGTCGAGACGCTCGATCGCTTTCCACGTGGGGTATCATGCTAATTAATACACAAATTTTACCCCGAAATCGACGCGTCGCTTTTCATCGCTTTCATTAAACTTGCCCTATTTATAATTGCCGTCTTTATCGGACGCTTTGCAAAGAATTTCAACCCTTACTCCGGCAGGCCTCGTTTCGATTTACAATTACAATTAACTTATTGATTTATTCGCCTTGTCAATCTATACACACACGCGCATATATATATATATATATATATATATATATATATGTTTTGGTTGTTTTTTGTGTGTGTGTGTGTGTGTGTGTGTGTGTGCGTGCGTGCGTGCGTGCGTGCGTGCGTGCGTGCCTTTTTTTTATAGTCGATTGATAATAAAAGATTTATTTCCATGTTCTTAAACATGTTCCTACATTGCCGATTAACTATTACAATTATCAGCTTTTATATGGGGGAGGAGGATGAGATTTTTTGCGTCAATATGGTCGATAAATAATGCACGAATCATGTACTAATGTATCCAATTCCATTCTGTACCGAACGTGCATTGATTTTCCTTCGAAAACGTCCAGATAATTATAATGTTGGAAGCGACATCTTATGTCTAAGTAAGTTTGGTGTAAGATTATCATTAACATGGATTATAAATTGTTGTCAAAATCAACATTGTACGCATCACTCTTTTTATTGCAATTACTTTTTTTTTTCTACAATAAAATCATCGATTCGCAATCGTATAATTACATCAAGCAATTACTTAAAGTAATACAAGAAATAAAAGCCAAATATAAAACATTAATGCAGGGCAATTAATTTTTCATAATATTTAATACGTCAGAACTAAAATACGAACAAAGCACATGAAAAATATAGAGAAATGAGTGCATAAAAGTGCTTGAAAATATTTAACAGCATTTTATGGTAAATGAAAAGAATTTTAATTTAATGTTAAGGTGTTGAGGTTCTCGAGCGTCGCCAACCTGTCCATGTGACTTTTATTTTAACGAGAATATACGAATGTACTCTTTACAACATTCGACTAATTCGTATTAAAAATACAATCAAATAACGATAAATATTTTTTGATCGTACGTACCGAGTACAATTATAATTAAAAGAAAAAGAAAAAAAAAAAGGGAATTACGTTTAAATGCCCATTCATCGAGCAGTCGTGCAATACAAATGCCACTTGTAGTTACTCGTGAGATTTACTTTACTTAAGGAAATTTACTGTCAGTTTCAATTGAATTCATCGAGAGATATACGATATATGTTGTGTCGAGTAAAAATAAAAAAAGAATAAAATTCAACGGGAACTCAGCTAAGGGCACTAAATAGAAATTCGTTTTATGTGAATAATATTTTCAATTACAAATCGAATGGCCATCAAAAAGTTGGCTTTAACACAGTGGTAACATCATTCGTAACGCGGCGTCGTATAGTTTGCTCTGGATTTCCGTGAGTGGGGGGCGTGACTAAATATCGTCGGAAAGCCAGTGACTGACGAGGAGGACGAACAGCTATTAAATAACGTAGCGAAAGAAGCTACGTTTCGGAAAGGCGATGCGCGCAAGAGCTCCGCCTACTCGCAAATCGCGATGCGGCATTGTCAAGTAGCCGCTCGTTTAAATCGCACTCCAAATTAATTACTTCCAGCGTCTCGAAATTTTACTTTTAACGACTCCAACGGCCCGCGGCCGATTGCAATTTGTGCCGCATTCAGAGTACGCTGTCGTTTTTAGATAAACGAGCCCAGCCAGATCCCATCGAGGACGAGGCAAGTGCAAAAGCAACATACCAGAGAGCTCGAGATCCCGGCTAAAATGCCGGGGAAGGGAAAGCCATTTCGAAATTTAACGCGGATCGTAAAGAGGCATTGAATTGTCATTATTTAGGCTGTTATCGCGCGAGCGGAAAATTATGAAAATAAAAATCCGAGCTCTCTATCCATCATTCGCTCGAATTTACCAATCCCGTATGTGGCCGATCGAACGTCGTTGTTACATTCACGCACTTTATTTCCCAAAGACAAAAACAATATGTAATTCGACATTCGATGCGCCACAACACCGATAAGGATTAACCGCTTTCAGAAGCTATCCACAATTTTTCCGAACTTTTAAGCGCTTTTTAAATGCTCACCACAGGATTCTCACTGGGATTCGCGAGGTTGAAAAATAATGAAAATAATACACAAAGGACAGCCGACGAAACTCCCATGATACGAGGCAAGGAAAGCATAATAAAATAGAAGCCAAATGATAAAGTATTTACCCTGTGCGAGTCTCCTGGCAACCGGCTTGGATCTCATCGCTGAAAGGACGTTGCGTCGATCGAACTCAAAAATAAAGCACTAAGAACGTCAATTTTTGTTCTCTGATCCATCCGCCTCACAAACAATGTTTCGCTACGCCGCAGCGGAGTGTCAGTCGTACACCGAATGGACAAACGTTGCAGCTCGTGCTCGCAGGCTCGGCGACGAGGAGCTTCCAAACGCTTGCGCAAGCTCCCGGCGGGCCAGCCGATCCCACATTTGCACTCGAGGGGAAGAAGCTCCGGGCGTCCGCCGGATCCTCACCTCGCTCTCTCTCTCTCTCTCTCTCTCTCTTTATCTCAAACTTTGTCTGTAGCTCTCTCTCTCTCTCTCTCTCTCTCTTTATCTCAAACTTTGTCTGTAGCTCTCTCTCTCTCTCTCTCTCTCTCTTTATCTCAAACTTTGTCTGTAGCTCTCTCTCTCTCTCTCTCTCTCTCTTTATCTCAAACTTTGTCTGTAGCTCTCTCTCTCTCTCTCTCTCTCTCTTTATCTCAAACCTCTTCTCAACAGCGGCTTTACACCGATCAGCCGGGCCGAGGCCGCGATGAGCAGTATATCCGTGCTGTCTGTTCTCCGCGACAAGAGACTCGTCTGTCCTCCGCACCTCCTTCGGCTCAGCCTCCTCCTCCTCCTCCTCCTCCGCCT